GCATTCTCTTAATGAATAGAATGATTTGTTCTAATGGTGTTTGTAAATAGGATCTCAAGTCCGCATCTTGTACAGCAATTAACCACTAAGAAGAACATATGCAGTGTGTTATTTGTTGAAACTGTACTTCCGATTTGATTTGAAACTGTCTCATTGCTCTCTGTTTATCAATAAAATTTTGAAAAAAAAATTGGGACCGAGGTTATGCTTATATTTCTACAGAAAATCAAGAGATGTTACGATCATCAGAGCTGTTCTGTGGCCAGAATCCAACCATCGACACACACATCCAGCTCTCTCCCGAGACCTCAAGCAGCGAACCCGAGAGCACGTCCTCCAGCGTCCCGGGAAGGCCTGCAGCAGACCGTTCGTGAGGCTTCCCTCCTAGCTAACTGCCAGGGTTTGGCTCAGCCACCTGGTAATATTCTCTTTACAAAGCATAATCTTATAGCAGCTTCTCTGGGTGCTCCTGTGGTTCAAGAAGTGTATTGGGCCTACATACCTAATGCATCGTGGCTTAGGCCTCTTACATGGATGGACAGGCCCTCAGAGGTTTTACATTCTATAAAGGGTAATAGCCATATATGTATTGTTCTGCCTGGCCTACAAATTTTAATGCATTTACAAGAACAGGCTAAGCTTAATGTTACATCTCATTTTGTATGTCTTCCCTTGTGTGTAGCCCATCTACCACAAGATGCTAGCCTTTGCATGTCGGCTGCAGATCAGACTTGGGAAGAACAACTGTTTAAAGGACAATTTGCCTTATTAACCTTAAATTCTATTCCACTGGATGGTAACCTTGTAAGAGATTTTAAACCTACCATTCCTTTCTATATTCCAGAGGCTCATGTCCCTCACTTTGAGGAAGGTGATTTGGGCCCATGGCGGACTTACAGAGATGCATACCATGGATGGGCTATACACAAATTTAATTATTCCTTTGTAGACTGGTCCCCTACAGGTTTCCTTCTAGGGAAAGATCAAGATTGGCACAAGATTTATTTTGTAGATTCCTCCTATTGTATCATGATTTCAGAGGCCTTGTCCAACTTTACATGGTTAGGTAGAGGCCTCAATCCTCTCTTCCCTAAACTCATTATCAGTGACAAAACTGGGCCCATACAACATACTTTATGGAATCTAGCCCTACCTTTTTATGGTAGACTCCTGCAGACTGGGCATCTGCAACTGACAGTTGGAGGAAAAATCAAAGCAGTATTACAAGGACATAGATACATAAAGGTGAACATGTGCTTATGGTCCTCAAGTACTAGTAGAAAGAAAGAAAGAGTGGCAACCAAATATGTTCTCATGTACTAATGTATCCTGTATCATGCCTGAACTGGCTCCACAGTGGTGATCATGGTCAGGATGCTTAGGGATTGGCTTTCAGTCAGTCTCACAGAGCCATGGTGTCATTCACTTAGTTCTTTCTTGATAGAGACATTAATTAAAAGAGTTATCAATTGGACCAAGAAGATGCTTGGATTAATTATAGCAGGGATAACTTCCTTGGTGCTTTTGATGGCTTGTGCAGTTGTTAACTCTATGATATTCGCTCATTCCATATTAACTGCTCCCCTTGTAAACAACTGGACAAGAGTTTCTGGTGACATCAGGAAATTCAGCAAAATATTAATATAAAGTTAATAACCCAAGAGAGCATTCTGGAAACTTGCATCCTTTTTATGGGAGATCAAATTGAAAGTTTACAATTACAACAAGGTTTAAAATGTCACTATAATATGACTTGTATCACCCCACTACCATATAACACAAGTCTTCATCCATGGGGACTAATCTAGAAACATACACAAGGAGCTATCCATCAAAATATTACTTTAGATATAGATGTTATTCAGAGAAAAATATGGTTAATGTCACAGCAGACAGCCACTTTTGATGCCCAGATTAAAGACTGGGATGTTTGCTGATGCTATAGAACAGTTGAATCCATTTGCATATCCCAAGGCTCACCTTTGGTTTTATATTGGAAATGGTGGACTCATTCTCTTGTTCATAATCCTTCTCATTAAATTGTGTCAGGGAGGAGTCTTAGCCCAACAACAGCTATGGGCTATGCAGCCAGAACTGACACTGCTCCAGCTTCATCAAAACAAAGAAGGGGGAACTGTGGAGGCCCACCTGAGCAGCTCTCCTTGAAAGAAGAGCGACTATCTCCATTTTGGCTGAGCCTGACCCTATTTCCTTGGATTGTTATGCACAGAGCTGGCTAGGACTGCTCTTCATCCTTCGATTGGCCTGAAGCAATGTATACTGGTCTAGCTGAGGTGCTGGTGATAGTCTTTGAAGGTGGCATGTGTGTTTCCCTGTAACCTATACCTGCTGCTCTTTAATGTGAGCCGGGCTGAGACAGGACGGTAGAGCTAATGCTCCACGGCGCCAGCTGGGATCGAGCCTGGAGACAGAGGCCATGACTTCCTGGGGCTTGAAAGGCTACACCAAAACTGAAGCAGCAGACTTACCAAAATGTTAGATAATATATAATGCAGATTACTCTCTCTGCATATCCTCTCTGCATATGGCAGAGGTAAATGTAGGCCACCCACCTAGCTCAGCTCATAGTAGTCTCTTTCCCAGTTCTCAGCCAATCCTCAAGCCACTCCCCCACTGAATAAAACTGGGTGAGGCCCTGGGTCGCTCTCTTGGTTCCAGAAAGCCATCTTCCTGGCTGGGCTTAGAGCCCCTTGACTCCCCGATGATTGAGGATATAATTTAGTGTCTTTATTTTCGCCATGAGTTGCATTGTAAGTGGTAGATTGGAGTCAATTTGATGGGATTTCAATAACGTAACTTTGGGATTACAAATATTGGCTTCTTGGACTGAACGAGGACCTGGAAGTGTCTCCTACATTGGTACTGTTACTTTATAATTTATTTTGCAACTTGTAGATTTATATCCACACATTTACAATAGTTTCTGCATTAGACAAGTTAGCATGGATTTTTAAAGCAAATTTCCTGAAATATATTAAGGACACATTTGAAAAAACATAAATATGACAATAAGAAAAATTTTAAAAAGTAGCATTTGATAGGATAAAATGTGAAATTCACATCACACTTATTTGATAGAAGAAATTATATAAAAATGGACAGGTGCTCTTCTAAGGAAATAAAGATTACATTCTGATTTTTTCTTCAGAGTACCAAGATTTAGGATCCCAGAAGCCCATCGTTGCTGACTCGGGTTCCACAGGCAGAGTAAGCGGCTGTCGCTCTGCACCTCTCTGGGCAAATGCGTCCTCTGCTTGACTTCCCTTCCTGGAGAGGAAAGCTTTGAGCGACCCAGTGAAGGCCACATTCCTCAGGTAGGCCCAGATAACATGGAGGCTGACAGTAGGCAGGACTCTGTTGAGACACACCCTGAGCCTTGTGTGTAAAACCAGACAACTGGCAACCTGCAAGGCTAAAACAAACTTGGAGGGCAAAGGAATGAGGCCCTTACGAAGACTAATTAGAGAGGTGCAATCCGGCTGTTATTCATTTAAAATTCCTGTGAGTGCTTGTGAAGTTCCAAATTCTGTTTTCCAGGTACAGTAGAAAAGCATACATGTACACAATGACTTTATTATGTATTTAGTACAGGGTCTAGATCTCATTACAAAGATCACACGTGTAAGATTCTCCTGTTTTCAGCCTCCCAAGTGCTGGGACTCTAGGCTAGCACCACCACGCCCAGGCTCAGTCTCTCTCTCGGTGTGTACCAGGGGCAGGGCCAGCACAGCATGCTGGGGATCACACCCTGGTCTCTGCGCTCTGCCTCAGCATGTGCTTTTGTCCACTGAGCCATCTTGCAGTCCCCAGAATGACTTTATTGTACATTTTTGTATGTGTTCAGTCACATCACAGAAGTGCACAGTACAGAGATCACCATTCCACACAGTTAGAACCGTGTTATGATTCCTGTCCTCTGTGAGCCCTCTCCTGCTGGGTCCTATAAGAACACTGGCTGTAGGCTTTTGGATACAAATAAATTCAGCAAGATTTCTCTGACTTGTGCCTTTGCTTGGAGAGTTTATTTACCAACTAAAACATTTGTAAAGCAATGACCTTCATATACATTCTCTCATGTGTGTCTTCTCATGTGTACCTGTTGAAGGCAACAACATGAAAGCTTTCTCACACAGGCGACATTCCTATGACCCCTCTCCTCCCTGTGCTCTCATGTATCTACCGTGGTGATTACACAGAAGGCTGCTCCATACATGACATTAAATTGTTTTCTCTTGTGCATATTTTCTCATGTTTAGTAAGGTGAGACGATTGAGTGAAGGCCTTCCCTCATAGATAACACTCATGATTTTTCACCTGTGTGTATCCTCTCATGCCTGGTAAGGTGACTTGACTGAGTGAAGGCTTTCCCACACAGATGGCATTCATGTGGTTTTTCCCCTGTGTGTGTTCTCTTATGCATGTTAAGGGTTTTAAGATAAGTAAAAGCTTTTTGACACACATTACATTCATATGGTTTTTCTCTTGTATGTGTTCTCTCATGTGTAGTGAGGTTTGATGATTGAGAGAAGGCCCTCCCACACAGATTGCATTTATATGGTTTCTCTCCTGTGTGTGTTCTCTTATGCATGTTAAGGGTTTTAAGATAAGTAAAAGCTTTTTGACACACATTACATTCATATGGTTTTTCTCCTGTATGTGTTCTCTCATGTGTAGTGAGGTTTGATGATTGAGAGAAGGCCCTCCCACACAGATCGCATTTATATGGTTTCTCTCCTGTGTGTGCTCTCTCATGGCAAGTAAGGGCAGATGACTGATTGAAGGCTTTTCCACATAGATGGCATTCATATGGTTTCTCTCCTGTGTGTGTTCTCATATGAGTTTTAAGGGTACCACAAAGAGCAAAAGCTTTCCCACACATATTACATTCATATGGCTTCTCTCCTGTGTGTGTTCTCTCATGGGGAATAAGCCTGGATGATTGAGAGAAGGCCTTCCCACACAGATGGCATTCATATGGTTTTTCTCCTGTGTGTGTTCTCTTATGAATTTCAAGGGAATGATGATAAGCAAAAGCTTTCTGACACACATGACATTCATATGGTTTGTCTCCTGTGTG